GGAAAAACACTAAATATACTGAACACTCACAGACATTTTTCCTTGTCATTCCCCAACTGTGTGCTATAATAAAGATACAGCGTTATCATTGTAGCAGCTATTATAAGCAATCTAGAGATATTTTATAGGACAAGGGAGGCCATGTATAGATTATATGTAAGCACTACACCATTTTAGATGAGGATTTAATCAACTGCCCATTTTACATCCAAGTAGAGTTCTGGGACCAAGCCCCTGTGGAGACTGAGGGAAGTCTGAACGAGAAAATGGATTTCTTCTCAAGTCACCTTACACTCTTCACTACCACCCTTTCCCCGAACAGAAGCTTCTTTGCATTTTGACTTACAGAGATTTCTAATTTTGATTCCTTTAGGCCAGCTGATATAAGTTATAGCTACAGATGGCACAAACAGAACTAACCAATATGTAAATAGCCTCTTACCCAACACTTTAGTTTTAGTATTGATCACAGATGGAAGTTGACATATAGATTAAAAATATTTAGACTATTTACCTTACAACTCCTGGCTCCTCTAATCTCACTCTGCTGCTGATCCCACAATGATCTCTAGGGCTGTGGAGCTGAGAAAACTCTCAGATTTCCTAGTGTTCTGCATGTCCCTAAGCTTCACCCAGATGCCCTTGGACCTAGTTAAATTCATTTTATCTTAAAGTCTTTTCCTGGTAAGGTTTCGCTTGTCGGTCTGGAATTTCCTTCAAGCCAAAGGAGAAGATTTTATTGGTAGATAAACAGGCTTTTTCTGTTGAGAAGAGTCTCAGCAAGACAGCAATGCTATGAGACAGAGTACTCTTTTCTATGCTATGTGTTCATGAACTCCCACAACACCTCTATCACATGAATGAGTCAATAGACTATCACCTTCTAACCCCAACCCCATGTGGGCTTCTTTTCCATTCTTCTATTATGGTAAGATATTCATAACATAAAATTTGCCATCATAATCATTGTTAAGTACATGGTTTAGTGATACTAAGTACATTTATTTATCTATTTATTAGTTTGTGTGTAGGGTGTGTGTGTGCTACCATGTATGTGAGCAGATCAGAGGACAAGTTGGAGTTGGTTCTCTGCTTCTACCATGCGGGTTCCAGGGATCAAACTCAGTTCATCAGGCTTAGCAGCAAGTCCCTTCACCCACTGAGCCATCTTTCCAGGCCTGGTAGTAGGTAAATTTATATTATTATGTAGCCATAACCACCATACATTTTCATAATCCTTTTTACCTTTAAAAATTGGACTGGGTCCACTAATCAATAGCTACCTGTTCTCCTCCCTTCTTTCCCTTAGCAAGCAAGATTCCAACTGGGTTTTGCCAACATACTTGATGTATCTTAGAAAAAAGGTACTTTGTCTATTACATTAATCAGTCCAGGTTTCTTACTGGAATAAAAACAGACTGAGTTTTTTTCTCCCTACACATTGCAATGAACCCATTCACCTTCTCATGGTCTCTGAACCTATTTTAACCTGCGATCTCTCAGTGGACATGTAGCTCTACACACTCTACTGAGCTCCTCAGCCTTTTCCTCAGCAGACTGTCAGAGCAAGAGGAAGAAAGGTATGACAGAATGAGCTCAGAATCGGCTGGAAAGACATGATAGACAAGCAGCTCAGGAAGTAGGGAGTGTGGTGACGCATAACTTATCCCAACACTCTGGAGGCTGAGATGCTGAGACAGGAGGATCACAGGTTCAAGGGCACCCTTGGCTATATAGCAAGATCTTCTCTCAAACAATCAATACAGGACAAAGAAGAGGAGGAAGAGAAGGAGGTGGTTCTCATTAAATCTGCTGTAGCCTCTGAGTCCAACAGTCTGCCTACTCCTTCCTACACAATGCTGTCGCCCATGAAAGAGCCAGAGTCCACTGGAAGTAGGAAAAATTATAAGTCTCAAATACAAGTCTTCGACAAACATCTGCTGAATTGAAGTAAATAAAATTCATTCACAGATAGTCACTGTTTAATGGGTACAGAATGGCAGTTTTGCAAGCATGGATCAAACTGCACACTTGCCCTTATCTGAAATTATGTCTGCTTATGGTTTCTATTTGAAGGGAATCAGATAGTGCATTTGACCTTTAATAGTTGTTTTAATAATTACCATTTAGTGAGCACTTACCATGAGCTAAGTGCTTTAAAGTCAGTCATTACCTCATTTGAACATCCCAACAGTGGCTGTTTCAATATGGATATGCAGGAAAGGTTTAGGGTGATGTGATTGGAAGGGGGCTGAAGAATGGTTCATCATGAAGCCTATTTGCCTAGAATCTTTTACATAAAACTGAGGAAATATCAATAATCATCTCTATCAAAGAAAGGTTTACTAAAGTGTGTGTGTGTGTATGTGTTTATGAGAGAGACAGAGACAGAGAGAGACAGAGATAGAGGCAGGATCCTCCCCACTATCCCTTGGTACTACCACAAACTAGTTTTATTATTCCATTTTATTATTCCATTTTGCATATGGAAAACTGAGCTTTCAGCAGCAATCGGAGAGCTTGCTAAAAGCCTCATAGCTAATAGAGTAGCACTTTCTAGAATGCAGTCCATGCTTGTCTATCTCCAAATTACAAATGTGTAGATGTTTAGTCATATACAAGAAAGGAAAAGGAATGTATAGGCCTCATTTGGAAAACTGCTTTTCTTCTCACTGTTATTTTTAAGGTTGAAGTCAAGTAAAAATTATTTCCTAAATCAGCTTCCCCAGAAACATTTGTAGACAATAACATTCTAGTAGCACAAAAGCATGTGACTCCCGTTCACAGCATCTATTCCACAGCTGGGAAATCAATGTCTATTGCATCAGAGATTCAAACCCATGAAAAGAGTGTAGAAACAGATATTCCAGGGAAGGAGAGTCCCTGACGCATGGAATTGTCCACTGTCATCTGAGAAAAGAGACAGAACAGCATATCAACAGTTTGTCAGAGAGTTTGTCAAACAGTTTGTAGAGACTTTAGACAGGGTACTTAGCCTGGCCCTTGACTTCTACTGTACTGGATTATTCATTCATTCTATGCTCTGTAGAGCATCTATATGTACCAGGCCCTAGACCTCTCCCTGAAGGAATATATGTAAATGACTTTCCTCTGCACCCAGCACATTAATATATGCTCTGAGATGGAGCTAGTATTGTTAATCTCTTCTTATGAATAGAAAAGAAACAGATAAATACAGGAAAACTGCATCATATTCCATGATTGGTTACTGCATAACTTTGGGTCAAATACATTCTAAAAAGTAAGGCACCATAGAGTAAGATTCAGGTACACATTTTGAATACCAGTGGAGGTGGATACCGACCAAACCCTGGCCAGGATGAGGGAGTTTAAAGGAAAGTAGGAATCCAGCCACTTTCTCTATGCGTCCTGCTCTCCCCATATGCAGGACCCAGGGCTACTGCCAACAATGACACTTCCCTCCTCGTCTATGCTCTGCCAGAGAGATGAAGGAGCTGGCTACAGGACCAGGTCTGTGTGTGTTTGCTACCCTAGCAGCTCCACCAGGGACAAGAAGAAAGCAGAATTTGGTAGGGGGTACTGCAACCGTACCTCATCAGGCTGGTTCAGGTCTTTCAAGTGCAAGTCTTGAATGAGGTAGTCCACGATGTGCAGGTTATTGCCCTGAGCTGCAAAGTGGAGGGCATTCATTCCTTCCTAAAGAGAGCCAGGATAAAGGAGACAGGTCACGACCTCAGTCTCCCCCTCCTGCACTGGTGAAGCTAGAGTTGTGCCCAGATGGGACCTAGTACTTACCTGGCTCTTGGCTCTCTGGTCTGCTCCAGCTTTAACCAGCATGAGCATGACCTCGAAGCTTCCAGACCAGGCTGCAAGGTGAATTACTGTCAGCCCATGCTTCCCCAAGAAGAGAGAAGAGGAGAACACATTACATAATGAACCATAGCATTCTATCTCAGGCAACAAAATCCTAGGTAATACTAGACCGATGAAAAATTAAGAATTTAATATATAAGCCAGGAGTGGTGGTGCACGCCTTTAATCCCAGCACTCAGGAGGCAGAGGCAGGTGGACCTCTGTGGGTTCAAGGCCAGCCTGGTCTACATAGTGAGTTCCAGGTCAGCTGGGAGTAAAGGGAGAGCCTGTTTCAAAATACCAAAAAAAAAAAGAAAAAAGAAAAAAGAAAAAAAAAAGAATGTAATACATAGAAAAAGTGACATTTCAATCCTACAGGGGAATGGGTAACACCTAATAAGCAAAATATGCACAATTGGGTCTCCATCTGAAGAAAATAAAATGAAATGGCACACTACACTATACTAAAAATTTATCAATACATACAATAGCACAAGCGCCCAAATCATAAATATACTAGGACAAAATCTAGGTTATAACGGGTGTTCTCTCTCAATTCAGAGCAAAAGGGAAAAATAGAACATAAAATCAATAAGCAAAAGACATTTTCAAAACCAAACCATTAATAAAGATAAACAGTAACTGTAATATATGAAGTATTCTTGCAAATCAACAAGAAAAGGTAAACTAATATAAAAATATGCAGGCAAAGGTGCTCTCGTAGGGAATTAGAAAAATAAAAAATGATATTGTCTAAACTAATTGGACATATATCTATTTAAATTTAAAATATAGGATCTGGAGAGTTGGCTCAGCAGTCAAGAGCACTGACTGCTCTTGCAGAGAACCTGGGTGCAGTTCCCAGCACCCACATGGTGGATAACAACCGTCTGTAACTCCAGTTCCAGGTAATTTGACACTCTCTCCTGGTCTCCGTGGGCACTGCATGACATGGGTGAACTTACATACATGCAGGCAAAACATTCCTGCACATAAAATAAAAATAAATGTTAAAAAATACAACCACCAACTCACCCCCTCCTAGGACCTAAAGAGTTCTATATATACATATATGTGAATGTTAATTGTAACACTGAAAACTAGAAACTAGGTATATATGCCCATTAATATAGGAAAGCTAAATAAATTATGAAATAGTTATATCACATCGTACATCCTAGGTGCATGATGCATGAATGCGAGTACTCAAATACCACATCATACCTACAGGTCAGAGGATAACATCCAGGATCATGCGTTACCTGCTGAGTCATCTTTCCAGCCCTAATCCCACTTTTTTTCTGGTCTTTTTGAGACAGGGTCTCCCTGTAGCCTGGAACTCACTATGTAGACCAGGCTGGCCTCAAACTCACAGAGATTCTCCTGCCTCTGCCTCCCAAGTGCTGGGATTAAAGGCATGCACCACCATGCCTGGGTCCTAATCCCATTTTTAAAGATACAGTGGACAACAATCTCTTTTATGTAAGTGTACATATCTATACTTATTTATAGGTAGATATCTACAGGATAGTATACAAATATTGATAGAGATATTGATATAGATAGGATTATATGAGCATAGAAATACATGTATCTCAGCTGAATGTAGCCACTAGAGGACAAAAGGTACATTGGAAGAAGAAATCAGAAAAGATGAGTCAATGAAGGGTCCTATTCATATAGAAGCTACCCAGAAATTCCATTTGTATGAAATTATACAGAGGTCTATGCATAGGCACATGTATGCATCAAGTAGTTAGACCGAGAGATTCATTTCAGGACCCTGTATACTAAATCATACACTGCCTTAGCAGAGAGAAACGTATGGAAAGAAACAGCCAACAGTTAACATTGGCTATCTCAAGAAGATGGGATCAGATGCAAGAAAACTGAGGAAAACTGATTCAGATGTTCAGCCTTAGTTAAAGAAGCAATAGAGATCAAATGCTGCCAGCATCATCTTTAACATCAGTCAGAACTGAACTCAGACCCTGGTCACTCTCCACCACTGCCAAGTACTCTAATATTGTTCAACTTCATTAATGCTCAGCTGAAGATTCATATTCCATCTTTTGGTTTTGTTTTGTTTTGTTTTGTTGATACAGAATCTTACTGTGTAGCCCAACTGGCCTCAAACTTGCCATCCTCCTGCCTCAACCTCCAAAATTCTGGGATTACAGCTATCCTTCTACCATGCCTGGCTGTCCTGTTCCTTATATTTAAGGTCACAAGTTTTCCTTTTCTGTTTCTTTTATTCCTGTAAACAATTAACCCACTGCCTCTGTACAGCTGCTTGCTAAAAGTAAGCCCTCTCACTGCAACATCTTTGTCTCAAATGATGATGTTTTTGATCCAGGACACATTTGCTAGATGTACACATTTGAGTAAACAGCCAAGGAATAAGGGTCTGTACCATTCCTATTTGTGACATTTATAAAGCCCCTTGGCATTTGTTTTGGCGGCCCCAGACTGCATTCTCGGTAGAGTTCATGTTGGGAGAGTGAACTAGCAAAGCCCAGCTTATTACTATGAAACTCTAAATTGGTGCTCTTGACTAGGGGCACTTGTATTTCCAGAGGAGATTTGAAAATATTTTGGGACATTTTTGATGGTTATAACTCAGGGGTGATACTGGCATTTAGAGGGCAGAGGCCAGGGACAGTTTTAAACACCCTACAAGGCACAAGGTAACCCTACAACAAAAACTTATATGGCTTCAGTGTATCGACAAATAGCTTTATCTGTTGAGAAATCCCGCTAGTAAACCTAGGCACTCTATAAAATTTACAGTTTAGTTGGACATTGCATTAAAGTTTAGCCCATTTATATACCACAAATTCTAGTCTACAGAAAGTTTAGTGATTTTTACACTCTTCTTTTTACAAGGAACAAGGACATATTATGACTAGTCGAGGTTCTTTTAAGAAGTGTACCACCCATAATCCCACCTTCTTTTAGGCTTCTGTACTAATGGATGGATCTAGAAACTGTTATACTAAGTGAAGTAACACAGACTCAGAAAAACAAACGACATATGTTCTCCCCCATATGTGGCTCCTAGCACAGTGATTTTTACACTCTTCTTTTTACAAGGAACAAGGACATATTATGACTAGTCGAGGTTCTTTTAAGAAGTGTACCACCCATAATCCCACCTTCTTTTAGGCTTCTGTACTAATGGATGGATCTAGAAACTGTTATACTAAGTGAAGTAACACAGACTCAGAAAAACAAACGACATATGTTCTCCCCCATATGTGCATCCTAGCACCAAATCCTTTTAAATTCCAGGTCCTTTTAATAAGATGATGCTATACAGCAGTCTCTTCTGCATGAAATAACTACCATCATCACGACCTCGGCTGAGCCTGATTGCTAAAAATAGTCACAATTGGGCTTGTTGATGGTTGTGCTCATTCATTAAAGGAGTGCCAAGCAGGGTCACTGGACCCTCACCTGAGTATCCAGCCATTCCTCCCAGCCAACTAGTCCAGCCTTGGAAGACAAAAGAAAAATGAGGAAGAACCCAATAGAAGGATGCTTTTGGAAGCCCTTGTCAAGAAACTCCAATGGACTTTCATATGAACATTTGAAAATTACCCTGTTCTGACTTTTTTCTAGTTCCCTGTCTAGAACTTGTAATGCTAATTACTCTTGCCTTTACTT